AGTTAAATTTACGAAATTATACCGATTTCACTGTGAGTGCGGGATCGCGCATGAATCGAAGAGCGCGGTTGTTTTTGCGAAATCGTAATTATATCGTTGACTTCATAAAAAGGAAAAATAAGAAACGCATTTGAAGGAATGATTCAATTAGCAATTGTCCAATTTCACGTTTGTGCGCCGATCCGCCCGGAAAAAGGATTTCCTTAATTTCTTTAATGAGTAACTGCGCTCCTCGACCTTTCATGTGTCCGAATACGTTTGCCAGCAATCACACGGCACGACGATCGCAATAATTCGACATCGGTTTTCCGTCAATCACACATGTACGTGGTCGCACTTTCATTTTTTTCCATTCGCACGCCTTTAACTGTTTTTCCTTCCTTTTCTCTTCGACATTTATAAAACAAAAAATATTGAATTTTGTGTCTCCTTCATCGTTTCGCAATTTTGCGCCTCCTCTCTCTCTCTCTCTCTCTCTCTCTTTCCTCAATTTGGGCCGTGAATTACAAGCCACGGCTCCGGCGCGCGTTTGCGCCCCTAAACGACTCTTTTAGCCCGCCAAGTAGATACCACTATTAACGCACGCCGCGCGGTTTATGTACACCTAGTGCATCGTTACGCGGCCCCGGCTGCCAGACGCAAGCACACGATTCCGCGCATATAAATTATCGTCGGTATTTCGGTAAATATGCGCAGTGTCAACGCGACGTTTCGAGCATTAATAGACACTGACGGGGACGGGTTTGTTAAACTGTCTTATTGAAATAAGAACGCGTCCGTTGGGAGTGTGTTTTTTGTAATAATTCAAGTTGTACCCCAAATCTTACTAGTACCAACATTTCTCTGTTATTTTTCACCGTTGAACTCGGATTACAATAAAAAATTATGCAGAATATAATTGCAATTAACTTTTTACGATCCAAGTGTGTCTACGAAGCACATCACTAAATAAATTGTCATTATTATGACTGATTATATCAGTGAAGTATAGATAGCGTTATTTTGTTACTGAAAAGTCCACTGGTAGTAATAATTAATAATTATTTGAATTACGCCAATGTTATATTTTGATTATACGTCTTTAGATTTTATTGATTTGTAGTACGTGTCGCGCAACAATTTCGCTTTCATCGAGACTGTTTGAAGTTATTTAAGGAAAAGTATTGTTGCTTGTGCATTCTTTTCTTCTTTAACATACTTTATGAACTGTTATATTATTTGTCGAGAATTTAAATCACTTTATTTTGTAGCATAACATTATCCAAAAAAGGTCAGACCTGATCGTGCTCCATTGCATGAGAATTGCGGATCGCAAAAAGTTAATAACCATCTTCCAAATGATCTTATGTCATATTATATTGCGTCAAACATAACAAAATTGTACGCGAGTGTTATTGACATTTGAATCGACAGTATTTCTAGAGTTTAATGTTGGAAAGCAATTTTATCATCATACTGACATCCGATTTTGTGAGAATTAAGAACGCGTATCGAACGACGATTATAAAACTAAAATTGATGCGTATTCAGGATACTCATTAATGGTCGCTGTCACAGGAAGTTGATCGAACACTAGACAAACAACCGCGGAAAACAGCACCTGCATCCGACGCGCCGATAATGACAACGCGCCAGCAACACTGATGACATCAGGCGTGAATGAATTCGCGCGATACACAGCGTGTAATGAGCCTACCGATGAAAAGGTAAAGAGATGATGCCACGCGTTTCGCGTAGGTATACTGGCGCGATCAACGAAGTACCACACGGCGTTCGAGACGGAAAATAAATCGCTGGAAAGACAACGAAGGTGCGTATCGGCGCTATAGAGTTGCGAGGCCAAATATGCGTTTCACAACGCCGTGAGAGAGAGAGAGAGAGAGAGAGAGAGAGAGAGAGAGAAAATTACAAAAAAAACAGAGCTCGATAGATTAAAGAAAAAAAGAGGCGCAACAAAGTCATCTTAAGAGAAGAAGAATCGATTGAGGAAACCCGCGACATTCAATCCGGACAAGACGAAAGACCTTGTTTTTGCAAAATGTATACCGCTGATAAAACAAAAATTATATAAATATTGAGGAGTATATTGGAAACGTCAATACGCTTGATTAGTCAACGTGAGACGAGCGAGAGCAAACGCACAAAAAAGCAAGTGTGAATATTCAGCACATAAGTGTTTAATGAGACACATGATCACTTACGCGCAGCCAAACGACTTTAAAACAGTAAAAAAAGGGGGTGGAAAGTGAAACCTTTACAAAGCGCGAGAGCAAAAAGCGGAAGATATGATCGATCGATCTCGTCCCGATTTTCGAGCGACTGCTGCTCGAAATACAATTTAAATTTTATGGGGCGTAAAAAGTCACGTTTGGTTATCTCGTAAAAAATTTATTGATTTTGAACTAATCTCTTACGGAATAAATAAAATAATAAAGTAAAAAAAAGGTAATGTTGCTGTGGATTAAATTGATTGAACGAATCTTCCTGTGTAAATGACAAATTTTGTGGAGAAAGAAAACGTATTGCATTTCTCAACAGCAGAACTTTAAATATTATTTCTATAATACTAATATGTGCGATAGTATACAATGTGCAATTTTATCATTCAAAATTACTAGAAAAAAAGAGAATGTATAACAAGTTTCTTCTGCTTATTCTTATGAACTTTTAGTCACTTAGAATTTAAAGACAAAAGCGCGGTCTTAATTTTGCCGACGGCAAGAATTATATTTTATCACCTTTAACCAATGCATATTTTGTGTTACAGGCAATGAATTAACTACGCGTCCAGAGAGAGTAAGCGCGACGAGAAAAAGAAATCGAAATTCTGCGCGAAATAATTCGTATAGAGACGATCGGCAAACAAACTAAAGAGGATTTTGGTGTAGACGCAGCTGGTCCACATGATAACAATCTAAAATTCCGCGGACCACTTTTCTGGAAAATATTAATTCTTTCCACATTTTAATAGTACATTCAAGATATTTGCATCTTTCGTCGTACTGAAGTTTAAAAGACGTTCAAATTTAACAACAGAAGAAAATAAAAGTGAATGATTAGACTTCCTGATTGTACGATAATCTGATCGGATACTTCATAACTTCAATGTATAAAACATACGGTTTATCATCGTCTAGAACTACACCACGCGAAATAAAAATACTTTCAGTGATACCGTGAGAGCCACGCACATTAGCTATGTATCTGCCAAAACCTCTTTAAAAAAAAAAAAATAACAATCCAGACAGAGGTGGAGACGAACGAAACGAGAAGCAGGGAGTCAGAAGAAGACAAATCAAGAGAGCGAGTGAGGAAGAATTGTCGAATATTATGCCCGGTAGCGATGGAAGACACGGCTCCGCGCTCGACCCCCGGATAGTACATGCATCGACAATATTGACAATGACAATAATCATAATTAAAATTATCATAATCGCAATAATAAGAAATAATAATACGTGACAATAATAATGGTGGCGAATATTATAATAGCAATAATAATAAGATCACCGCGTTAACGCCGAGCTTGTTACAGTTACAACATTTTCTCGAGACCAGACAATAATTTGTCACAATAATATAATAATAATATAATAGTAATATATATAATAATATATGATAATAATAATAATAAACATAATAATACAATAATGATAAGAACATAGCTAAAATCTTCCGATCTATATATAGACATAGAGCTTTCAAATGTATCGCCATTTCGCGTTTTTTCTCATATATATATATCCTTCTTTCTATTTATATATAATAATATATTTTCATCTACATAAACTCGCACGATCGCGCCTGTGTGTGTATATATATATACATACATATATATTTATGCATACTTACTTTTTATACAGAAGGGATTTTTTGCGTGTGGGGGGATCTGTCTTGTTGTCTCGCTAGGATTTCGCACGCGCTTTTCCGACACGCATTCCCTCTCCGAGATGTGTGTGCGCCCTGTACCTTTTTTTTATATATATATATGTATAATCTGTCCCTCTTTTTTACTTCGTCGCGCCGCATATTCTTCGTCTCTCTCCTTCCCTTTATTTCTTTCTTTCTTCCATTTATTCCAGCTTCCGCGTCTGTTTTTCGAACGTACTCGCCTATCGTCGACAGCGGCGGCAGCGGCGGCGGCGGCGGCGGCGACGACGACGACGACGACAACGACGACGACGACGACGACGACGACGACGACGACGACGACGACGACGACAACGACGACGACGATTCACGTTCTTTCTCTCTCACTTAACTTACTAGCTTTATCTAGTACATTATTTACAGTCCATATTTACTTATGTTACATCATCCGCCGGGTTTACTCCGAGCAAATCCCGTGCGAACGCAGCACTCTTTTACGCACGTTCTTCACGCCCGTTCGTCCGTTCGTATTCGTTCCATGAATTTCAGACTCTTTTTCGCGAGATAATCGGGAAAATTGCGCGCGCGAAAGAACACTTCTCACGACGCGTGTTTCATGTCTGATGTTCGATTGCCCGCTTGATCCGCGAGCGAGAGAGAGAAGACACTTCCGTTCTTTCTTCGCACCCGCACATCTGAGTCCACCTCGCGTTCGCGGCACGCTGTTATTAAACCATCCTTCTTCGGGTTCCCGTCGGAGTAAAAGCACTTTTGTTCACCGACGACGACGACGACGACGACGACGACGACGACGACGACGACGACGACGAAACAATAACAACAACAACAGCAAACAGCCAACAAGGTCCGCGGTACGTTTCGAAGCGGACTTGACGAACGGACGAACGGGCTCCGACCTGGCCGCGCGAAAGAGGAACGTCATCACCGTGACCATTAATCGTACTCGTCGTAAGATAATGACAGTGAGTCTCTTCCCGTATCGCGTCGTAAAAGACACGATCAGGATATTTCACTTATCACCGCAAAACCTCATCGATAGAGGAAACAGTCGCATGAGCGACGGCAAGATGGCAACGACGACTACGACGACGACGATGATGGCGAGGATGATGGACTTGGGCGAAGAATATCCTGAAGATTCTTGAGTGAAGAATGATCGCGATGTTCGTCGATGGCCGCGATACTCGCGGCGACGCGTCCTCTCTTCCTTAGTCCTCTTTTTCTCAGTTTCAAGTGCAACTTTTGTCCGGACGCGCGGTCAAGGTCGATAAAAGATCGCCGACCGAGCGCGTCAGCTCCTCAGCCTCCCCGGTGGACCGGTTTCGGCCTCGTTAAACCCCGTTGATCCTCGTCGAACAAGCCACCATTCTGTACACTCGTCTTGATAACGAGCGCTGCCGTCCGGCAAGTAGAAAGGACGCCGTGGGTCGGTCAGCTACGTAGTCGTATAACTGCCGGTACGCGCCTGAAGGTAGTGATGATAGAACGGCGGCAAGGTCGTCGTTTCCGTCGTCGACGACACATTTACCGAGTTCTGCGAGGTTACCGCGAGGCCCAACGGGGGAGGCCCCGGCGAACGCTAGTGAGCCGCAAGCGAATGGGCCGTGAGAGCCTGAGGGCTGAGCATCGGCGGACTGTGGCTGTGGCCCATAGGCGAGCCGTGTAGGTGATCCTGCGGATGATACCCTTGATGCAGACCGCCCTGGCCCTGATGACCGGGCGGCATGCCCTCCATAATGCCGTCGCCGAGTGTATTCGGCGGTGTCATCCTCTTTTCCTTCTGTCGTCGATTGCAAAACCACACTCGAACAACTTCCTTCTCCAACTGCAGCGAGTCCGCGAGCGAGGTGATCTCCTGTGCCGATGGTTTCGGTTGCTTGTGGAAGTGTTGCTCGAGCGCACCCTTCACCGATACCTCGATCGACGTGCGTTTCTTCCGTTTTCTTCCCTGGGCGGCGATTTTGTCGATGCTCGTCGGCGAGCCGGTCGTCGAGTCTGCCTCCTCGAGCCACTTCTGCAGCAGCGGCTTCAACTTGCACATATTCTTGAAACTCAGCTGTAGAGCTTCGAACCTGCATATTGTCGTCTGCGAGAAGACGTTGCCGTACAGAGTGCCAAGCGCGAGGCCGACGTCCGCCTGGGTGAAGCCGAGCTTGATACGCCGTTGCTTGAACTGCTTCGCGAAGGCCTCGAGATCATCCGACGTCGGCGTGTCCTCCTCACCGGCGCTGTGATCCCTGTCGAGCGGATGGGGGTGCAGCGAGTGCCCCGACGGTGGACTGTGATTGTGCGCCTCCCTCAAATGATGAGGTAGTGTTTGATGGTTGTGCAGCTGATGCGGATGCTGATGCGGATGCTGCATGATACCGTTCATCGCCACGTGATAGGACTGGAGAGTGGGCGAGGCCGCGCCACCGCTCGGGTTGTAATGCGCCGACGGCACCGGTGCGTGCCAGGTGTGCGGTGTAGCTATGCCCGGGGACTGGTGCGGGCCCCGATGATGCAGGCCCTGATCCGTCGCGTTCGCCGCGGCTGCCGCGGCCAGCGGCTTCACGTCGAGATTCGCGTTCGCCTGATGCTGATGGTGATGGGCATGATGGGACGTATGGTGCATGCCCATCGAGGCCGTCCAGTGATGATTGTCGGGCGGCATGCTCACCCAGGGACTCACCGACGAAAGGCTCGCTGCCGGATGCGAGAGTCCGTTCGGCGACGGCGAGGATGACACCTGATGGTGATGATGATGGTGGTGATGATGCTGCGGCGCCGGCATGTACTTCATCTCGCCGGCATCAGCGGCGCTGCGAGGCGAGCCCGAAGAGTAGCCACCCACGGCGATGTTCATCCCGATCGTTGTACCCGAACCACCATCCAGGTCGGTAGACACTGCGCTACTAATCGGCATGTACGTGGTAGCGGCCATCTACTTCCCGCTCGTCGAGAGGCTTCGTGAAACCCTCTCGATATTATTCTCCGCCGTGAGGCGCCTCACGGGCTACGTTTCTCGAACGCGCCCTTTTCACCTGGAGTCTGTCGAAAGGTGATTTTCTTCGACGGCAAAGATTTCCGTGAGAATGTCGTTCACACACAATTCAAGGCAAAACCCTTTTTGCAAGATTTTCAGTTCAGATATTGTACGTTTAGTACGTTTCGACTCACAATGATGATCGAATGATTCTCGAGAAGCAGTTCTCTCAGTAATCACTTATCACTCGTAGCACAATCCACAATTCGCGACGATACACTGAGTACCAAACAAAGCTGGCTGTCGCTCTCGGCGAGATATCGTCCATAGTTTCTCGAGAATGTCATGCGTGCGATGGCACAGGAACATTGAGCCGTGGCAAAGTCCGTGGCGACGATATGCTCTCGTTTTCCTCGTCGTCCTCTCCGACGGGGTGGGTCCCCGCGGAGATGAAGCGCGGCTCCTCGTCGCGGCCACTCGCTCCGCACCAAGAATCACACGCGAAACGTAAACTCCTCTTTCCTTGGCTCCCGTGTACTGGCAACCCTCACAGTCGAGTCGACAAGTCACTCGCGACGATGGATTATCGATTTAGCTGAGCCACCACTCATCCCTTGGTGGGGATTCAAACTTGACTCGAGTAATCACTATCTCGTTTTGATGACGACGACAACAACGACGAAGGCGATGCGAGGATTACTCCGCACTGGCGTTGTGTCCGTGGCTCCGACGTGGTGGACGCGTACCGACAACGACGATGCACGGCGCGACTGCACTCGGGGGTTGCCACCGCGGATCGACGACCGAGCAGCAGCAAGCGACCGACCGACCGGCTCGACGTAAAGGGACGTACGACGGTAATCGCGGAACGGAAGAGACTCAACTCGGCGGGAGTAGAGTATATGATGTCGTTCGTGTGTGTTCCTCCTGGCGGTGGATGTCCCTCTCTTTACGCGAGTGTACGTGTGCGTATACATACGGTATACAGTGTGTGGAACGCGAGAGAGCGGTGTGTGTAGCTGTGAGAGAGCACGGAGAGAGAAAGAGTGAGAGAGCGAGAGAGAGAGAGAGTGTGTATGTATGTGAGGTGTGTATGTGTGTGTGGTGGCGGAGAAGAGACGGGTTAGAAAGATCTCGCTCGGGCTCTCATGCGTTATGCATGTCGTAGCTGAGAGCGACTGACTGCCTCGCCTCGCAGCTCGCCC